TGCTCCAGGATTACTCCAAGGGCATAAAAACTTATGTTTGCCTCTCTATATCATTTTTCACTTCTGGCAATCATGATGGGCTATTGGGGGAGGGGGCTAAAACTGACCTTGAGAGCACTCTAAGCTTTGGGCACTCATTTTAAATGGCATTCAGCAACAGCACCAAAAGACCTAATAAAATGTTGACAAGACAACCCAAGTCTCTTTAGATGGGAGAAGCCAAGCAAAATCAGATGGATTATACATCAGCACAATTCAATACCAGCATAGTCAACAATTTCCATATTCCCCCAAGCTATACGACTAACATCTCTTAAGTAACTGACACAACGTGCCATTACCTCAATGGGTACTCCAAAGACAAAAATACAAACATGTTAAGTACAAAAATGATAAGCAGTAAACAAAAAGAATCAACTAAGAAAATTAAGAATCGTTTGGAAAGGGTAGGAATTTTAAATGTTGGACATCTGGAAGTTTGAAAAACTAAAATTAACTTGATATAGATGAATATACATTAGACAGACAAACAGAGAGATGGATAGACAGATGGAGGGACGGATTTATAAACATAGAATTAAACAAAACTAGTCAAAATAAAACAAAGAGCTGCTAAGCAGACTGCAGAACACAGTACATTTGATATAATTAAAAGCAGTAAAACAATCTTATCTGCAGGCTCAAAAAGACAACTGACCAACGTTTGTGGAAGATGCCCTATGAACAAGAGGAGTTAGCAAATATAAATATGTAATTGTTCTAAAGTTACCTGTAGACTTAGTTTTCTGGTTCATACTTATTGTGCTATCTTCTTGGTCTATTGGCTGACTGGAAAGTGAGAAGATCCAGATTTCTGCTATTTTGATCGTAACTTCTTTGATACTGCTAAAAAGGCTCAGAACTTGGCCTCCTTCTGTTGGGTGCTGCAATACCTATGTTTGAAGACATAAACGTACACTCCAATTACATTTTGTGGGTTAAAACCCAGTTTCTCACACACCTTAGTATTAAATACATCAAATAATTGTGTGTGGTTTTAATTCATGAAGATTAATACAGTAGTCTGATCCTTCTAGTTACATAATCACTATAGGATAAACAGAAGAATTACATCAGAAAGATCTGGACGTCCCGGAAAACCCAGATAGTGCAGTTGCTGACCTTGAACCAGACATCCTGGAGAGTGAAATGCACAAAAACAGTAAAACACATATATAAAAAGAAAAAACATACTGCCCTGTTTTCCTGAAAATAAGACCTAACCTGAAAATAAGCCCTAGTATGCTTTTTCAGGATGCTCGTAATATAAGCCCTACCAGCAAAATAAGCCCCAGTTAAGTGTAACCCCGCCCTCCACCATTGTGCAGAAACCAGAAGATGACATGACTGTATTTGAATAAATGTAGATTGCTGTAAATGAAAAAAAAAAATCCCCTGAAAATAAGCCCTAATGCATTTTTGGAGCAAAAATTAGTATAAGACCCTGTCTTATTTTGGGGAAAACATGGTAAGTTAAAAGAATCCTAACAGAGTAATACATTATACTACTTTAGTCTCCCTTTTGGGTTTCCATAATAAAAAATAAATAAAACATACTAGTGAATTAAACTTAGAAAGGAAAGAAAAATACAAGATAGAAGACAAGTAATTCAACCAAATGGACTGGGAAGGGGACTTTTGTCTGGAACACAGGATGGGTAGAACGCAATGGTGAGGTCACAAGGTGTTCTTGGACTGTAACTTGCTACTTTTACAAACTATGCTTAAGTTTAATTGCTATGCTTATGAATGATACATATGGACACATACCTCCACCATGTTGATAGTTCCCACTGCCAATGTTTTGTAGCCAAGAATTGTTCTGTTTTTATATCGTTTCCTCCTCTGCAACATTATTTGAAGTATGTTGCCTTCTCTTTTCAAGAAATGAGGATACTGCAGGTGAAACATTTCAATGTTTTAATACAGCATACAAAAGTAGAAAACTAAATGCTTTGTATGATAGCAAACATCTGAAAATCTATAAAACCAATTGGCTAAGCATGCATCAAAGCCTCCATGGAGAGAAAGGTAAAGGTATAGGTTCCCCTTGACATTTTTAGTCCAGTCGTGTCCGACTCTAGGGGGCGGTGCTCATCCCGTTTTTCAAGCCGCAGAGCCAGCGCTTGTCCGAAGACAGTTTCCATTGTCATGGGGCCAGCGTGACTAGCATTTTACCTTCCCACCAAGATGGTACCTATTTATCTACTCGCATGTACATGCTTTCGAACTGCTGGGTTGGCGAGGAGCTGGGACAAAGCGACGGGAGCTCACTCCGTCACGTGGATTCGATCTTACGACTGCTGGTCTTCTGACCCTGCAGTACAGGCTTCTGCGGTTTAGCCTGCAGCGCCACCACATATATATTCTACCAAGTATTGCTAAAAAGTGAGGCACTCCAAACAAAAAATTCTAATGTTAAAAAATAGAACTCAGATCAGCACCAAATCTAGTATAGTGGTAGAAGACAGTCTGCTCCTGTTCTATGCACATTATGGGGACATCTGGGCAAAGGGTTTTGACCTTTTTTTTAAAAGTAACACTATTTACCCTCATGCAGAGCCAAGCAACCAGAAATCTCCGTGAGATTTAAAACAGATGAAATACATTGATAAGAGAAAATTTGCATAGCTGGGGAAAAAGTATCCCTGGCATCCTTTTTTTTAATTTCACAGAAATTAACACATTCCTGGATGTAACAGACCTTTAGCAATTAATACCTTTTAAGCCATTATAATGCTGAGTTTATCTTTCTCTTATATGTTCCCTAACATTCTAAACAGATTGAACTTTGGACCATGCCACTCTGAAAAGACTCTGAAAGAAAGTAGTCAACTCCTTCCTGGCCGAACACTTTAAATTGCTTTATGTGAAAATATTTTAAAAGATTTTTAAAAAGACAATAATATTCAACAGCTCACTCATTCAAGCTGTAAGATTACTGTTTTCACTTTTTTTGTTTTTGTTGTTGTTGTTTTTTCTCTGTGTCTGGAGATTATCTCAAAGCATGATTTAATCTGGTCTACTCATGAGTAAGAAGACAGCTGCAACAGCAACCAATGTGGCTCTTAAAGAGGAAAGCAGAGCAAGAGATGGCCATTTTTTCAGATTCAAAAGTTTCTTATTTTTATTCTACTGCAACAGATGTCATCCTGGCTATTCTGACTTTGGATGTAGTAGCTCTACACAATGATGTTGTGTTGCATCCAAACCAGTCTCCCACATTCTTTAACCAAGACATCCTTTGTACAATTATTTTACTATTCATTTTACTACAACTGCTCAATTGTACAATCTGTAGATTTTCCCCCCATTATGCAACAGAAATATTCTACATTTCCTGTGTTTTGGGGACAGTTCTGGGGGGCTTTGGTTGTTTGTGGGGTTTTGTTTTCTTTTGGTTTGATTATTGTTTTGGGGAGTTGGTCTTTATTCATTCTCGTTAGTATTCTTAATTGATCACTCTTCCAATCCAACTAACTGTTGGCATTCTGCAATAAATCCTCATTTCAAGTGTTTCTAGCTTTTTAGAGTCACTTGTCCACAATTCTATTCAAGGCACCAAAACTGAGAATACACAGAATTATACAATGCACATTCTGATGATTTTCTTTTCATACCCAGGGAATTTCATTGATACAAACACCACAGCAATTTAAGGCCAGACTTAGACTGCCTCTAGTAAAAGCTAAGGCTCATATCTTTACAGACATTTGTATGATCAGGAATAATGTTGTGTAATGTCAAATCATACTTTCAACATAGCCTCCAAACATTCACACTTTTCCTTTATCTTTCAGGGACAAGCCCAGACAAGGAAGATGGAATGTCAGGGACAAGCAGAGATGTCCCACACTGACTTGATCCTGTATTGCGTTATAAAGCACCTGAATCTTACTGTATTTCTAGAGGAACCCCTGACCTGTGAATTTGTCCATGCTTTGTTGTTTACATCCATAGCTATGAGAAAAAGGTTAAACAGTAGGCGACAGAGATTAATTCTCCTCTGATACAACAGGGATAAGAATCATAGAGCTACCTAACAACCTGCAGAGTGGAGCTTATACTGTACTTTTGTTTCTAAGCACCACTTTCAATTTAGCTTGATATGAGACAGCAATTGGTGAAAAAGAAAACTACATATTCAGATTACAAAACTGCAATATAAGGAAGAGCAATTCAAATGACCAGGGCTTTGACATCATCTTTATAAAAAAGATTACTTGGGGGCCTTTTTAATGATTTTTTTTTAATGACTAAAAGAAGAAATGAGGGTAATAGCATTGTACATGTTACACCAACGTGTTATCAAGTTGATTCCAACCTATGGTGACTATCCCACAATCTTCTAGATATAAAGTACTCAGAAATAAATTGTGGGGCTAGGGGAATCCTCAATCCAATCCAGCAGGACGTTCTTGTATTCAAGATGTACCAGGGACAAGTGCCAATAACAAAAACTGTTCATTTAAACCTGTCAAAAACCTATGCACAACTATTTCCCAAATTTATTGCCCACAAATGTTAGAGGTGACCTTTCATCCTCAGATGACAAAGAATTTCGGACCTGAAGTAAAATCCAAGCAAAAGTATGCTGTGGGGAAATCTTCTAGGAGAGATTCACTTGAAACAACTGGAAATCCTGCAATAACCCTGTAATCTCTTCTGGCCCTCTGATTTCATAGGAAATGAGATCAATAAATGGAACCATACATGCATGTATAGCATATAAACATACATAGGCATGACCTGCATGTGCATGCAGTAACATACCTTGGCCCAATTACACAAGACCATCCAACAATGTCCATGAAACACAGTAAGAGGCAAGTGCCTAAAAGTTACAGGCATTACCTGTAGAGAGAAGGTCAGTGCAAGTTCAGTTTCTACACGCCCACTAGGATGTAGCACA